TTAATATTCTGTCCTAGAATGCGGTAAGATGGGCCTTTTTTTTGGAGCACCTGCCCTTTTTAGTGGTCTCTGCACGGCCCTGATCTGCATTCAGAAAACCTAATCAGTCTTGTTAATGGAATGTGTTTATGTATTTGGAATGTAGTTTGTTTGTTTATTCACTGATAACTTAAAGGTAAATTAATATTGTTTGGAAATGTATTTTGTTCACTATAATCTGCAAGTAATTTTGGTTCATTTGTTTGTAGGTTTTCAACCTGCTTGGTGTGTCTACTCTGACCACTCAAACAAATCATGGTGGTCTTGTATTGAAAAGTGAAGTGATTTAAAGACAAAAGAAAAGAGAAATAAAAAGATGACACTGAGATGAGTTGTTCCTGCGTCTCTTTGATGGGAGCAAGCCTTTTTCAAGTTTGGGCAGAAGCCGAGGTGTTTGAAGAGGCCAAAAAAACTTGACACTGAAATAGCCTCCCATAAATCTGAAAAAACAAAACAAAAAACAAACAAAAAAAACTGGAAAAATCTAGGAGAAAGAAATGTGACAAAAAGCAGAAAATAAGCAATCTGTAGGAAAGTGAAAAGAACTTTAGAGCATTGTAAAGAGTAGCAGTGGAAAAAAATATAAAAGAATAATAATAATAAAAAAAAACCTGATCAGTAAGTAGAACTGCTGCCTAAGCAGGAAGCATCATGAGCACAGAGAGAGCTTAGCTCAGCCTGAGCTGCTCTAACTCTGGGCTTCATCACAAGGAGAAAAATAATAGAAAACAAATGTTGTTCAGTTAACCTGAGGCAAAGAGGGAGAAAAGAAAAACTCAGTATTAAACATTATTACATTTTTAGGGTTTAATTAAAATAATTCCCGAAACAACAAGAGCAGGAAATGATTTGATGCTTTGTCTGTTCCAGTAAAGCCACTTTCCTTTTATTCATTTTCATTAAATATTGGCTGAAGTGAAGTCTAAGAATTATTCATCCCTCTGACCAATTTAGTTTGAAAGTAACATTTAAATATGACCAACATGTCTCTTCTGACTGGAAGCAACATCATTTTATTTAATAATAAAACTAAATCCAGGATACGGATTTCAGTAAGTTTCAAAACTTTTCTAACCAAGAAATATTATTCTGTTCCTCCTCTTAACAGTTTGACTTGTTTTTAATAATCCAGGCAAATTAGTTCTGAAATAGGTTTCCATGCATAATAACTGTCATGTTTGTTCTAAAGTGGTGTAGTGATATGGGGCCCACCTGGGCTGGTCTTCACAAGAAGCCGACCCCTGACCCAACATTTGGATATTTTTAAAAAAAATAAAAAGATGTTTCCAAAAACATGGTTTCAAAAACACTTCTAAGCTAGGGGCATAATTTTTGACTATACTTTTACCTTCCACTAAACTTTCCTTTTGTATGTTTGGATGCAGCATGAGTTTAATGTATTTTCTAATATTCTGGGAAACTGAATTTTGTATTTCGCTCATAATAATAAACAGTCAATAAATTAATTTATGAAATTTATGAGTTTCACTTTCTGAATGTGCTGAAATAAAGTAGGATGATTATACTCTGTTCTTAAAAAGACAGGCAAAGAAAATTGCAGCTTTCATTTTGTTTCTTTTGAGCCAAAAGTCTGAATGTTTTTTTCAGAGTGATGATGCTCTGAAGGAGGACTGGACTTGTTAAATCCACCAGCTGGAGAAGCTGAGAAGCAGTGAGCTCATTCTGGCTGCATGCGGAGGAGGGCGGGGCTCCAGCATCATCACCACCGGCCATCACCGCTTCATTGTAGGCTGCTGCTCATCCACACACCACCGCCGTGGAAGGCCGTTTCAGATCATCACATTAGTGAAAAATGAAGATGGCATGGACGTTGCTTCATATGTATTAGGATTTCACACTGAGAATTCCCTCTGAGGTGAGTCGGTGGAAGCAGCGGGTTTTTCTGCGTGTTTGTTTTATCATCGTCGGTCGGAAGTGGGAGTTAGTCGGACTAGCGGGCCTGCTGGTTGGAGACTGATTCACTGTTAGCGCCGGAAATGTTATTTTTTGACATTGTGCTTCGACAGAAAATATTTAGGTAGTTTCCAGCGACATGCATGGCAACACGACCTTAGAAACGTGTGTTATTTATCTGCGTAGCGGTGATTTATTGTACACATCGGCGGCTGGCCTACACCGGCAGACCCGTTAACGATGCTGGGGACCGTCCTGCCTCTGGTCCTGGGGGTTTCCACACACGGCATCGATGCTCTTTCCATGTTCGCGTGTTTTCAGTAACGATATCTGTAAATGCAGGCTGTAGTAACTGACACCAGCTGCCTGGGCCTTAAATTAGCCCGGATGCAAGTAAATATCGGCTGTAATGTGTACAGTCCTGCATGGTTGTTCCTCCTGCGCGGTGAATTAGCACACATTACTGACCATAATTTCAGAGGATGCTGCAGTGATGCTGCAAGACGCTGGCAGGATGCTGGCCTTCACCGTCAGCTGTAGCCTGCAGCAGCATCACGGAGCTGCAGCAGATCAGACTGTTTCAGGTTCATCACAGATGTGGGACAGATGTTAATTGTTTATAGATCTTATTGAAATTCTGACAGTAGGCCTGATCTATGGCAGTGCCACACATCAGATCAAAACCTTCCAACAATATGATATATATATAGTGTCATGGTCTGTAGGTTTTGTTTTATTTAAGTCATTTTCCCTTCTGCCAACCAACTCTTCTGTTTATTTTTAAGGTTTATTCACCAGATTCACAATTGAACCATCACACGTGTTTTTCATTCAGGAATTAAGTCATTAGTTAATTAACACAGCAGAAACAATGATATAAAATTTAAACCGTTTTGAAACTGTAGCTGATTAAAATGTTAGTGTCTGGCTTCCTGTGAACATAAAAGTATTTTCTAGAAAGAATCTTGAAAGAAGTTGTTCTGAGAACCTTCACAGAGTTTTAATTATCAGGCGATATGTTTCCTACCGTTTTCATAGCTTCTAGTGAATCTGATGTCCATTAAACAAATGTTTCTATTCCAGCTGTATGATTGTTGTAAAAGATAAATACAGCACAGTGGTTGAACTAATTCAATCAGTTGTTTGAAAAGGTTTACATGACAAATGTTCTGTACATAAAATAAGTCCCAGTATTTCAGCTAAAGTTCTCAGACAAGTTGGAGACAAATGAGCCGAAGGATTTTAACCACTACTTCATTGTTTGTCCACCATCATTCATAGAGAATTTACATCACAGATTAAAAATACATTCAGTTGGTTAAGAGACACAGCATGTCAGAAACGATGACCTTATGACCTCTTCGAACATTGCAGCAGATTTCAGCCTTTGGTTGCTTGTACACAGCTGTGAGATTGTGGCTGCAACAAAAATTATTACAAAACTGTTTGGCTCAAGATGAATCGTAATTCAAAAATCAAGCAAATGCGATAAGACTTTGAACCATGTTACATCATAACACCCAGACTGATTAAACTTAAATTGCTCATTTACTTTAGGGAAGCTGGTTCTATTAGTTTTCAGAACATTTGCTGATTCAGTTGCATAACCAGGATTAGCAGGAAGCTAAGTTCTGCTGTAAGAGTTTGTTTGGCTGAAATAAAAAGGGAAAGCTAGAAAGATGAGCTTGTTGAGCAGTTACAGCCTCATGGACATCCGATTACTGAAGAGACCTTTCTGTCTGGATCTGTGGTTAGGTAATAATGAGACGGCTGCCCAACATAAGTTACAGACATACTCAGTCCATCTTAGAAAATAATATTGCCTTTTTGTATTTTCTTGTGTAAACAGTTTGAAAATGGAAGTAATTTTAGTATCCTGCCCTGCTGAATATCTTTTCATTTCACTTAGAGCCATATTTCAACAGTTTTTCTATGGAAAGTTCACATCCTGCAGCTTGGCTGGCAGCAGTGCTGGAAACTGTAACTCCTGCCCAGGCCAAAAATGTTTAGAAAGTAACAAATATTGGTAATATATCCACAATAATTTAAAAATTCATAACTGTACCGCAATCACAAAACTGTTTTAGACCAAATACTTGCTGATGAAGGTGCTTGTGTGTGGTACATTTTAAAACATTTATAGATTGACATTTATTTTTAAAATCTTTTGCAGAGTATTAAGTTATTGTAATAATCATCATTATTTTTTTACTGAAATGTTGAAAAATTAACACATTATTAGAAACCTTAGATGAAAGGATGTGTTTGAAGTTTAAAATAAAACAAATATTTATACATTTGTGATATCAACATATGAATACATATTACCATTAGAGAACCCAGATTGCCATATCCGAAAGCATTGTTTGTTGGAAAGAGATGAAGTAATATATTGACATCATAATGTCTGTAGCCAGACATTATGATGCACTTTGTAAAGGCTGCAGCTTCCATAGGAGCTGAACAGAAGGATTCCAGCAGTAAAGGCCAGACAGAGCCAGATATTCTGGAAACACCAGAGTGTTGAAGCAGCTGCAGGCCTTGTCATGTGAATCCTACCAGAATCCCTGATTGGGTTTTTACTTCACAATCCTCTCCAAGCTGCACTTATCATGGAGGGTTGGACATCATTAATATGCAGGACTCTGAACAGTCAGATTCATTCTGTAGTCCACTTCTCATGGAGCGTCAGTGACTGACTGTGAAAGTCAAAACGTTTCTGTATTAAAACATTTTATCAAATGTTTAGTTATTTTTAAGCCTAACTCTCTTGGTTACTTTATATCTTACAGAGAAGAAAACAACAATATGAACCTGAATAACTATATCCAAGTCTGTTTTGTTATGGATTTGCTATTAGTGCCGTCATTACAGATGGTGGCATTGCTCTGACTGACCCATTACCCATTCTGTATTGATAATCCTGCACCAACACTTCCTTTGGTATTTGCAGTCAGAAGTGGGTCATGGTGTCAGTGTGCTTCATGCTGCATTATTTCAGATGCACAAATTATATGGCTGCTGCAGAGCATCACATGTACGCTCACAGTCAGAGCCCAGAGAGAAAGAGACGGGTCAGAACTGTCTGTCCTCTCTTGTCCCTGAATCTAATGAGCCTGCTGAGCCACAGACCAGAACCAAGTCCAGAACTGACTTAGTTACTGCACTTTTCCTCTCATCCAAGACAACGATCAGTGGGTGTTCTCATTCACTATTCAAGTGTTCTTCATATTTTTTTTTTCTTAGACTTTCTGGAGAATATAGTAATGTGAACAGAGTAACTGAAAGAACAGCTTTTAAAAATACAACAAGATATCTAACATATCTATTCATTCTATTGTTTTACTGTCCAGTGTAATTTGTATAACTGCTTCTTTGACTCTCGGGGAAGCAGACTTTCCCTGACTCACAGTCAGGGAAAGTCTGTTCCTGTGGTCAGTCTGCAGGTTGGGTCACAGTGAGAGATGGGTGAAGACTGGGGTCACAAATACAAATCTTAAATGTGGTGTTGATGTTCACCCCTGACTCAGTAGGCTTTCAACCTCTGCCACAAATTACCAAATAGATCTAGGTTTAAAATCCTTGATCAAAACAGTTTTTAGTGGCTTTAAATGGTTTGTGGCAGTGAATATTTTGGCAATTCTCTGAAGAGTTCACAAATAATAGTTGCATAGTTTAGGTTTGCCAATATATCTGTTTGGCTCCTTCAGAGTTATCAAGTCTGTTTGAAACTTCTCTGATTAATTTGCTCCTTGCCTGGTGGTCCGTGAAGGCAGACGGCCAGGCCAGCTCTTGGCAGGTTTGGAGTTGTTCTGCAATCTTTCCATGTCATGAGGTGTGGTTGAGGTGGTGAGGAGATGACGCAGGCGGACCCAGGATGTACGAATATGACGGTTTTAATAAAGATGATGCTCGAAACAATCCAACAACAGGCAGCACGGCAGAGAGACAGGCACACAGCCAAATACCGGTAGCAACTGACACACAGGACTGGAAACGAGAGCTAACGCTACCCAGGACTTAACAGTTCTACTGGAGCGAACACAAGACGTGAAACAAACGACACTGACTACGACAAGGATCCAACCACGAACACAGACA